AAGTGGGGGGCGGGGGGATGTTGGAGCCGATTTAACACGCTCAGACGGGGCTGGAGGGGTGGGGGGGAGGACACGCTACCCCAGATGGGAGCATGTGGGGGGTTTCTTCTGCCGCCACATGCCCTCCCTCTCCCTCCCGCCCACCATTCACATGGTAATGAGGACAAATTGATGGAGAGACATCCATTGTGGTACCCACCAGCCCGGCCCTTCTGCCGGCCACCCACCGGCAACCCCATCCATCACCACCCAGCGGACACCCTGGTGGGACCCCTGGGACCTGCCTGGGGCTGGCACCCCGGGAGATGGGGCTGCTTCAGGTGCCCACGAGCAGTGGGGCAGCCCCTAGGTTGCCCTGTCTCTCCCGGGGCTGACTGATTAGGGAGGGGGGGCATCCAAGGAAGGAAGAGCCCTCCATAGGTCCTGTCTGTCAGCTAGACATAATTTTGTCCTCACCATGGGGCTTTATGGGGCTATAGGGGAGTTAATGGAGATTCAGGAGGTGAAAGACCCCCAGAACCTTATTTATGAGTCCCTTCCTCTTGCTGCCCTGGGGCTGGCCCAGAGCCAGGGCCCCCCACTTTCCCTGCTTCCACCCCAAAGGAGCCCCCCCAAAACCCTGCAGCAACCTCCCAGCGAGGCAAAGAGCTGTTCCCCCATACTCACTGATACCATAAAACCCTGGGCCTGGACATGGGCTGCCCACAGCATCACAGGGCACCCCAAAGGGCACATCCTCTCCCCATGCATCCCTGGCCTCTGGCTCCCCCCACCGTGCCTGCGATGGCAGCCTGATTGAAATTTCACTCCATAAAGTGCCTCTCGAAAGCCTGACCCCGTGCCCCCCCCAGGGACCAATTTGTCCTTCTCTGTAATAAGAACCTAATTAAATTAGCTCAGCCGCCTCACAGAGCCCTTAAATTAGCCGTGGTGATGAGGGCCCTTGCTGACAGCCTGCTGCCGAATTGCTCCGCACTCACTATGCTGTGGGGTCCAGGGAAAGCCCTGGGGGGACCCTGCTCCCAGGTCCCCCCGGGGACAGCAGGGCAGGGCAGCCTGGAGATGGGGCGGGGGGTGCACAGAGGGGCACATGGGTGGGACAGGTACGGGGAGGCTGTGTGGGGTGCTGGCTGGTGGTCGTCCCTTCTGCTGGCATGGGGATGGGTTGGAGGGGGGCCAGAGCTGGCAAGGGGCAAGGGGACAGAACCAGCAGGGACTAGCCCTAGTGTCACTGGAAACCCATCGTACAGGGTAGGGGGTCCATCTTCTCTTGGAGTACTGGGTTAGTGGGTGTTGTGGTGATGGAGATGGTGGGAAAGGGTGTCCCAGCACAGCTGGGCGCTGGGGCACTGGGCCCAGACCGGGATGGAGAGGTGTCCCCGGCAGTCCCACAGCGGTTGTCCCTCCTGCACCCTGCCCCACTTGCCCTAGTTTCCATGCAGCCCCAATGACAGCTTGGTCCCATGTAGGCTGGGTCACCCCTGTAGCCTCCGGCTGCCCACCTCCCCTGGGTATGGGGGCGTGGGAAGGGAGAGCTCACCCTTACTGGTGGATGGCACTGGGGTGGGCAAGTCTTGCTCCTGGAGAAGTGCAAGATGCCCTCTAGCCCTGCCTGCCCTGTTTACGATGGGCAGAAAGCGTCCCCGATCCCTGCCTGCCCTCCCCACACCAGAGCTCGGAGTGCCCACCTGGGAGATGATGGATTTATTGGGCTGTGTCCCCAACCAGGAAAGGTACATCCAGTGAAGAGACAAAAATACACCTGCCATTGGCCGCGCTTGCGCTCTCCCATTTTGCCCTGGACAACAATCACCATAATAAAAACTGTGCTTTAAAATAATCTTTAAATAATTTCTGCTTTTTGTTTTTTAAAAAAAAAATCATACCCCCAACCAAACAGCTTTCGCCCTGCCCACTCCCCATCTCACCCTGCACGCGCCCACGCTGCCTCCCGTCTACGGTACATACAAAGAGCAGATAAATAAATAAAGACGCGTGATGCTGCAGGGGGGGATGCGGGTCACTGACCCCCCCCCAGCCCCCTCACCTTCGCTAACATGGAGCCAGGGGAGGCTGAGGCTCTAGCTAGGATTTTAGGGGGGAGGACTGTGGCTGCAGCTCTGATGGGACTCCCCCCAGGTCCCGGGAGCGGGTGAGCAGCAATGAGTTACCCTGAGGGTTTGGGGTGCTGGGGGGTCAGGGAGGTCAAGCCAGGCAGGGTCTGGAGCTTGGGGAGTTTTTTTAGCTTTGGGGTGGGAAAGGCATGGCTTTGGGCTGAGCCAGCTCAGGGTGGGATGCTGGGAAGGCAAGGGAGTGAATGCTTTCTCCTCAGCCACTTTCCTTCCCCCAGCTCCAGCAGGTGGGGGCTGCAGTCCCGGCTCTTCCCACCCCTGCTCCCACCAGTGCATGCCCATGCCTGGCTGGCATTCGCACCCTCCTGCCCGCATGCCTGCCTGCCCAGCCCCCTCTTGCCAGCCAGAGCCCCCCATGCTGTCGCAGCATCCCCACGGGCATGCCTGGCCGGGTGGCTACGGTGCGGGCTTTGGGCAGAGCTTGGGGTCCTGCTCCCCAGTCTCTCACTCCAGCAGCACTCACATCACCAAGTCAGGGGTCTCGTGCCAGAGCCGTGCCAGCCCCTCCAGCCCTGCCCGTGCTTGGGCACCCCAGGTATACAGGGGCTGGTTTTGGGTGCTCCCCTGCACCCACAGTCAGGGCAAAGGGCAAGGCACAGTCCCAGTACCTGGGTCACCCTCCTCCCAGCTGCCATGTCCCAGGGGTGGGAAAGGCATCGCCCACCCTCCCGCCTGGCCTGCCCAGCAAAGGGCCCTGGGCCCCCTCTCCCAAAGCCTTCCTGCTGGGTGCAGGCAGGCTGGGAGCCCTGCAGGAGCAGCCTGCAGCCAGGGGTTCTCCTCTTCCTGCCCCCCCTCCGTCTATCAGACCTCCGTCGTTAGCTAATTCTGCACACGCATACGCACATCACACACACACACAAAAATAGCAGCATGTGGATCCAGCTGGGGGCGCCCCCATGCCCAGGGGGGACACCTTTTGTACGTCCCCCCTGCCCCCAGGAGCAGGGGGTGAGGAGGGGGCGGTGGGCATGGAGGAGGCACATCGGGGAGCCCCAGTGTCCCCCAACTGGGAGGTGGCTGTGCCCTGAGCAGGCAGGACTGGAGGCAGCTCCCCGTGGGCACCCAGCTTTGGAAGGGGGTGCTGGCCCCCAGTGAGCTGCCCCGCAGCCACCACCTCCACCAGCAGCGCCGGCCACAGCTGGGGTGCACCCTCAGCTCTCTGCCCGGGGTACCCCCAGTGGGTGGAAGCTGTCGGGGGGCAGGAGCAGCCTGCCTAGGCGGTAGAGGAGCCCCGAGTACCCGGG